GAATATCTTGTCACAGTGTGAACACTTGTAAGGTTTCTCTCCAGTGTGGATCCTCTCATGTGTTTTCAGATTTGCTGACTGACTGAATCTATTGTCACAGTGTGAACACTTGTAAGGTTTCTCTCCAGTGTGGATCCTCTCATGCAGTTTTGTACAGGTCGCTGAAGTAAAAGTCTTTTCACAATCAAAGCACATGTACTCTTCCACTTTCAAAATTGAAAAACGTGAAAAACTCTTTCCACACAAATAACATGAATGTGGCTTCTCCTTTGTATGAACTCTCAAGTGTTTCTTTAGGACTGAAGCCCTCAAAAATGTTTTATCGCATTGATCACATGAGTACAGTTTCTCTCCAGTGTGGATGCTCATGTGTTTCTTAAGGCATGATGATTGTGTGAATCTATTCCCGCACTGATCACAAGTGTACGGTTTCTCTCCAGTATGAACTCTCATGTGAAGCTCAAGACTATATTTGCATTTCAAACTCTTTCCACATTGATTACATGTGTACAGTTTCTCTCCTGTATGAACTTTCATATGTGTCATAAGGATTCCTTTCCGTGCAAAATTCTTCCCGCACTGATCACATGTGTATGGTCTCTCTCCAGTGTGGATTCTCTGGTGTGTTTTCAGATGTGTTGACTGACTGAATCTCTTGTCACAGTGTGAACACTTATAAGGTTTCTCTCCAATATGGATCTTCTTATGTGTTTTCAGGTCTCCTGACCTATTGAATATCTTGTCACAGTGTGAACACTTATAAGGTTTTTCTCCAGTGTGGATCATCTCATGTGGTTTTAAACTGTTTGCTGTAGCAAAAGTCTTTTCACACTCAAAGCACATGTACTCTCTCACAGCAGCATGTATTTTCTGATGTAGTTTCAAATATTGTAAACATGAAAAACTCTTTCCACACAAATGACATGAATGTGGCTTCTAAGACTTAACGATTGTGTGAAACTCTTCCCACACTGATCACAAGTGAATGGTTTCTCTCCAGTGTGAATTCTCATGTGAACATCAAGACCATATTTGCTTGTCAAACTCTTTCCACACTGAGTGCATGTAAAAGATTTCTTGGCCCCTCTTTTCTTTAAATCATTCTGTTTGGGTTGAGAGCAACTCGAAGGTTTTTCTCCAGTTTTGACTTGATGTTTCTCCTCATCTTTACTCAATTCTTCGTTCTCCTCACTTTCTTCACTTTCTTCAAAAATAAAAGCAAAAAGTTTATTTGTCAGTAACTTGAAAAAAAAAGAAGAAAAAAAACAGAAAAAACAGATAGTACATAAAAGTCAACCCTGGTGTAATAGTGTAAAGACAATTTCTATACAAAATGTTGTATTTTATAAATGTTATATAT